TTCTTCATAAAACAAAATTTGATAAATCTTTTTCAAGATTTATGTGTATGTCAAAAATATAAATTTTAAAATATGTTTTTAAAATACATTGTCCACCTGACGAATACCTGTTTAGGCTGGGAAATAACCCCTAAGTGAGGTTCAAGACACGCTTCTAGACGAGTGACGGGTTCTATACGTTCGGGTGACCGAGTAGTCTTCGTGAACCCTCGAGAATAAATATAACTGAGCCTAGTCCCATACGAGTGCTTGCGGTTCTCCTCATCCGAATTTTGTTTTCTTTGTTTTGTCGAAGTTTTGGGACGAGGCACTCGTGTTACTTTTCCTTTCTTTTAGAATTTCCCCAGGAGTTTTGAGGATTTTCTTTTACTTGAGTCTTTTTCGTTGATTTTCTCAAGTTTTTTTTTTCGCTTTTCCTCGGGTTTCCTGGACGACGTTTCTTTCAGAATTTGCTTTTTGAGATGCAATTAGGTTTGCTATACTTAAGGAACAGCGGATCTCACGGGCTCACAGGTTTGCTTTACATTTTACAGCAATTAATTTTCCTGTTTCTACCTGCTACTGCTCTTCTTATACAACATGTTATACCATTTCTGTTTCTACCTGCTACCGTACCGTATAACATGTTATATTATTCATGTATCTACTTGCTACTGTTCTTCTCGTACAACATGTTATATTGCTCCTGTTTTGCCTACTATTGTTCCACGTGCATTCTATTGTTTGTTCCTGCATCGCACACTTTACATTATATAACTTCAAGAATGTTACCTTTTTGCATAGGATGTTTAGAGGACTACAACCATAGGGCCGTTTGATTTAACACTATAACTGGACACCCTAGAAAACTTAAACTCGTCATGGCAAGGAATTTGGAGCTAGCGCAGTGGGAAACACGACCATCTTCAACAGCATAACACGTCTTCCCCAGCAAAACCATCCCTTTTCCTAGAAATTAAACAACAATCCATAGGATTTCGAGGTTGTTCGCCTAGCGTGACATAAATCCTCCACCTTTTCTTTAGGCATTCGTATAGCTCTGCCGTACGTTTTAAGCCTTAAACTCGTTCTAGGCTCCGAGGTCGTCGTCCTATACGACGTAAACCCTCATATCTTTTAGGCAATTTGTGTGGTCCTGACACGCAAATGTCCTGCCACGCAAATATAAGCCCTAATTAAATAAAATTGGCAGGATGAAACACTTTAATAATGTCTTCTTAAGGTTGAAGCCAAACCATTGGATAGACTGAGAACCTACTGAGGTTTGCCTCAGGATCTGTGGCTTCCCCTAGTTTCTCTTCATTTGGATTTTTTAACAATGTTCCAGATTTGAGCTTTTCCCCCTTCACACCTCTTTGTCCGATTTCATTGTAAAGTCCTATCTTTTTTGACTTCTTTGAAGACATTATTCCCTGATTTTTATCGAGAGTTTTCTTAGGTGACCTAGGTCATTTAAGATGTAATTAACTATAGGGGCTTGCCCTTATAGGAAGCTTTTCCGAACCCAGCTTAAAATAAACCCTATTTAATTATTTGTATTAAATAGGGGAACTTGTCGGCAAATAAAACGGTTTCGCAGACCCAAACGGATGTAATATGTTTTCTTAGTTTATTTGATTGAGCCTCATCCTCAAGTATTGTATTTATTCTTCGGGGTAGATACAGGATTTGAGGTAGAGTGCTCTTTCATTTAAACTATGAAAAATATGAGGTTAGTTTGATTTCATATTTTTCTAAAATTATATACATATATATACGTAAATTAAAACGTCCTTCCGAAGCGGGCGACAGGATTTCGATTCTGGCGACCGACAGCTTTTTACGGGCGACCCCCCAAACTTTCTTTTAACTTTCTTCTTTTTAGTGCCGACACATAGTCTTTTATAAATATACACTAAATTCAATGATTAAGATTGAAGTTGACGGAGAGATGAAAATGATTCAACAAAGTATCCTCTTTTTGTTGCAAGAATGAGGAGTAGAGAAAATTGCTTTTCCTTCTTCTCTTGTGACATTTCTAGGCGCTTGAATGGATATATTTAGTATCATTATGAAACTTATGATGGGTACGTGTGCCTTGTCACCCTTTATATCCATTCCAGACTAAAATGCTGTTAATCGTCAATTGGATCAATCGATAGAAAGCCAAACCATATTGTCTTCGAGATTTGTTTTGGATCATGTTGAACTTAGATAGTTATGATAGACAAATTTATAGAATCCTTAGGTCCTAAGATTAGTGTTTTTGTGGATCTAGATTGCATGAATGGATCTATAACGATAAGTTTTAGACTAGTGTTGAGGATTCTTTAGACTAAATGGCTAAATATATGTTGGAGATCTAAGTTTAACGTCAAATGGATGTACTTCATCATGGTTGATTCGTGGTCGACACAAATCTTCGAATGATTATGCAATGTATTAGCTTGAAGGACCATTGTTCCTACCTAGCCTCATTACATGAAGATTGTTTAAGCATGAATCTTGATACCCTTAAGCTATTGGCTAGAATGAATCAGGACTGTTTGTTAAAGCCATATGATGAAGTAATCTTATTGAATGGCATACTGATTTCTTCCTGTTACGTTCAAGTCTACATTTTTTTAAAATTTATCCTATTGTTTGAAATGTACTCCTCATGTTGTGGAACTTTAGGTTATCTAACATGCCTTCAATTTCCTGCAGGTGAAGTTGTGATTATTACAGTTACATCACTAGTAATTTTATTCAGTGTACAGAAGTTTGGAACAAGTAAAGTGGGGCTTGCAGTTGGGCCAACTTTGTTCATATGGTTTTGTTGTCTTGGAGGTGTTGGTGTGTACAACCTTATTAAATATGGGTTGACAGCTTTTGTTGCCTTTAATCCCATTTACATCTATCATTATTTTAAGAGAAATCCTACTCAAGCTTGGATATCACTTGGGGGTTGTCTTCTTTGTGCGACTGGTATGAAGGCTTGAACCTAACTTTCTTCACTTTACATGAACCATATGCTTTTTTTTTTCTTTCTATGAAACTATGATTCGACCACCAGTTGTTGGTACTTCTTGTAAATGAATAATGACACATGCTCTCTAGAAAGAAGTGCAAAAAAAAAAAAATTGCATAGTCACTGCACCCTGAAACACTTGGCAAAACACTGGTGCACTATGCGATTAAAAGCACACTTTGCTTCTGAAGCACAAATCGCTCAGTGTGCTCTCAATTATATAACTTGCTATTCTATAACAGTGCTACTGTTTTTCAACTGATTCTTAGTTTGTTTTCATTTTTAATAGTTATGCATTGATCTTATTATTGCTTCAAACTTTATCTTCATTATGTAATATTTCTTTGTTATTATGGTTTTTTGGCTATTCGCTTCTTGTTAGTTAAAAAATTGAAGTGTACATGTTTAATTTCTCATTTCTTTGCTTTTTGTGTGTTGAATTTTACATTGTAGATGTATAGATTTCACATCTTTTCTTAAAAAGTAATGGTGTTTTTCATGGATAAATCTAAGACTTGTAAGTGCTTTTATTAATTATGAACCATATAAATTGTTTAATGCTCATTGTGGCTTGAAATATCATCACTTGGCTATATATATTTGAGTGATTCTGCGTTAATTTAAATGAGCAAAATAGATGGTGTATAAATTGCTGCCCATAAATTATGCTCTCTCATGGGTGCTTTATATTCTTGGTTTGAGGCTTCCCATGGGTGTAATCCATTATATTTAATTACTCCAATTAGCCACTGGATATAACTTCCAATTTAAACTTGTCTATGGGCTTTATGTTGTTTTGCTTTGACGGTTACCTTGCTGGATGGACCTACTCCAATTTGGATTTGGAAGAGAATGATACATTCTTGTTGACTCATAGTAGTTATTATTATTATTATTATTTATTATTCATTATTTTTATGTTTATTTTCGAGAAAGATGGAGAACTCAATAATGATCCAATGGTTATATTATTCTAGTTTGTAATGGACTATGACATACTTAGTCATGGTAAATAATTCACTTAACCTAGCTGGAAAATTATCGTCAGAATTCTTTAATTTCATGATACAAGGGAAGCTTCGTAGATTTGGTAGGAAAGCGTGCTATTAGAGGCAATTTTAAGGCTATTCCTGCTAAAAAGTAGCCTCTTGGTTAATCAATTGTGTCGTATGACTCACAACTTGTAGGTTTAGCCATTGATAAACAACTAAGCTTGGACATTTTAGATAAGGTTATTTGATACATTATTATTCACATAAAATTTCTAAGGTTGATCATATGGACAAAACATATATGACACTGGCTTTTTGTGGGCTTTAGTTAAATTTGAATTTGTCACCCTTTGCAAGCTAGAGCAAAGGGTGAATTCTTAGGATCACGGAAATGTGGAGTGGTCTGTAACGCCAAGTTTTAATCCCTAGTAACTTTAGCGTTACACTTGGAAGGAGAAGAATTGAGCTTTTGAGAGGAGATGAGTGAGAAAGTGACCATAAGTGATTACTTGGGCTCAAAGGAGGAAGAAGTGAACGAGATCATGTGCTAGGCCGAGAGCAGCATGTGTGATCGGCGTATACAAGCTTAACTTCGTCTGCTAGAGGAGATAGAGCAAGTTTGGCGCCAAATCGAACAAGTGAGGTGTTTTATTAGCAAGGAATCGATGATCCCGCAAGCGGACTACAGGCAGTCGAGCATTAGGCCTTGGAGCAAGACAAAATGATGGCTAACAAATAGCAACCAAACACGAGCAGAAGGAAAAATTATCTGTTTTCAAGCAGTTTCATTAAGTTTGCACCAAGTTTGCGCTTCGGTGAGAATAAATAATGCAACTAAGAGTAGGTATCATAGGTTCATGTTGTGCTTAAGAGAGAAAGGAGCATTGAGGTTATGAAGTTAGAATTATTTTTTTATGATTATTTAAAAAAAAATGAGAAATGATGGACTACACACACACATTCATACATTAAAGAATATTTGATAAGATAAAATTTAAGAAGGATAATTAGAAAGCTAAATTTATATTTTATGATTAATATTACTCTTAGTAAGTTTGAATGATCAACATTTTAATTAAAAATTTTATTAGAGTCCAAATAAAAATAAATAAATAATTATTTATCATGACTATTTAAAAGTTAAGTACATAGTAAATATTAATTATGAATTAGAAATTTTAATTAGAATATAATATATTGAATAAGGTTTAATTTAAATAAATAAAATAAAATAAGTGTGGAAATTTAAAGGTTAGTAATCTAACTAGAATAATGTGTTACATTTAACTTAAAGATTATTACAATCATTAATTAATAAAATTAAATAAGCAAATAAATAATAATAGGGATGTTAGGATTTATGTTTTGGATAATATATATTAAATTAAAGAGTTAAATGTTGATATATTCATAAAAAGACCAATTAAACAAATGATTAATTATTATGAATGCTTTTTTATAGGTGTCAAATTAAATGTGACAAAAATTAGTATAAAAAAATAAATTTCTAGCTAATTGAACGAGGTGAGTACTTTAAATTTTAAGTTATAGTAGTATTTTGGGCTTCTAAATCAATTACATAAATATTTATGGATAATTAATACATTCATAGAATTTTATTTTGATTCATCTGTTTTTCAATCTTATCAATCTTATCAATCTTATATGAATGTTTCAAGTATTTTTATATAAAAAAAATATTCATTATTTATAAAATATCTTAAACTAAATGATATAAAAATGTGAATGATATAAATTAGATAGAGTGATTGTATGTGAATATTGAATTTGATGGAGTTCACTATCTTATGGTGTTAAGTTAGGATGCTAAAATACACTCATTTAGATTGACAAATATTATTGATAGTGATATACGTTAATTGGAATAAATTTAAATAGTACTCTTGCGGCAGTTATATGATTAAAATGTTATTGACTAGAAAATGATATAGTGCAATGTAATTAAATATTGAATAGTCATAATTAATTAGTGACTAATGGTCTTATGTTGATTTATCTTTGATGTGACTATCATAAATTTGCTTTTAGAGGTAAAAATGTTGATAACACAACTTTGTTTTAAATTAATATTTTCAAGTTTTAGCTTTTGATTAGAAATAATAGAGGTGAAAATGTGTATAAGAGATGATGTCAAAAAACATAAAGATAAATTTATTTTTTTTTATTTTTTTTTTATTAGTGATTCATTCTTTATTTTTGATTTAAAATTAATAATTACATTTTAATTTCACTATCCGATCACTCGTTGATGTCTTAGAAATTCTTGTAATATGATTTGCTATTGCTTAAACCTTTTTAGGGTGTGTGTGTATTTTTATATTATATTGCATTTTATATTGTATGAGTTTGAATTTGGATTGTGGGGGCTTAGTGTTAGATTTTGATGTTTCCTTTTGATACAGTTCAATTGATGCAAAATGTTAGTTGTGGAGTTTGATTGTAGCACACATAAGCAGACAGTTTGGGTGCTTAAGTGCCCATCGAGTGTTCCCAGACCGAGAAACTGGAAGTCCTGCGCCCAAACTAGGTGCTTAAACGCCCAAGGTGGGCGCTTAAGCGCCCACTTCTAGCTCTGGGACGCCTTTTCTAGAGAACTTGGCACCCAAGAGCCCAAATCCGGCCGCTTAGGCGCCCGGAGCAGTTTTCACGAGAACTGCTATTTATGTCATGATTTCGGACAACATATTTGCGGACTTGGAGCGTAACTCTTTCTGTTTGTTCATCAATAAAATCCCGGTGAAGATAAGAAGTGTTGATGATAAGGGTTCTGATTTTTTTCTACGTGTTTTTTCGCATCGGATCATTAGAAACAGTGTGGAGTGGTGCACTGTAAGTTTTTTCGTGTGAGTGTGGAGAAGGTACATATATGACATATATGAATCCTTTGTAAAACTCTCTGAAATTCATAATGAAATTTGTGGTAGTGTGACTCCGTGGTCTTTTCCCGTTCTTAGGTTTTTCCACATAAAATTGCTGTGTTCTTTTCTGGTTGTTTTTTTTTTATTGCGTTTCTGGTTTAAATTTATTGTTTTGATTTTCTCGAATCCTGTGATCACTTTCCGTTGTGATGTTGAGAATTGTTTGGAGGATTCCTCACAAAACTGGTATCAAAACAGGGTTTGATTCAAATGGGAGTAATGGTCGAAAAAGCAAGGTTTAAGGTGGAGAAGTTCAATGTGACAGACGAACTTTGGTTTCTAGAAGATGCAAGTGGATGATTTGTTTTATCACAAAAAATTATACTTGTCATTAGAAGGAATCACAAAGAAGACCGAGTCTATGCTTATGGAGGAATGAAAAGTGTTGGATCAAACAACACTGGGTTTGATTAAGTTAAAACTTTCCTCATCAGTTGCATTCAACATTGTGGATGAGAAAACTACGGTGGATCATAACAGTATTGGCCAAGATGTACAAAAACCTTCTGCTTCCAATGAGAATTTTCTGATGAAGAAATTATTTAACATAAAGATTATGGAAGACAGTTTAGTGGCAGAGCATCTCAATAACTTCAACACTGTGACGAGCCATTTGTGTTATGTGGGAATTAAGTTTATTGATGAGGTCAGGGCACTGGTGAAACTAACTTCTTTGTCAGAAAGTTGAGAAGGTTTGGTGACAGCGATGAGTAATTCTTCAGGGACTTCGAAGTTGAACTTTGTTGATATCGTGGGTCTGATGCTGAATGAAGAAGTTCGCAGAAAAATAGCGAAAGGGGGATCTTCAGGTTTTGCGTTGAATGATGATGAAGAGGAAGGAATCTGGGCGGAAATACAAACAGAGGCAGATCAAAGTCTAATAAAGGAAACCCAAGTCAAGAAGAAGAGATTGCTGGAATTGCGATAAGAAGGGCATTTTAAGAAGAATTGCAAGCTCCAAGGAAAGCTGATGATAAAGGACATGATAGTAATTTCTGTATTATTGTCTCCACAGGTGAAATTCAA